CCCCCCCCCCCAGTCCCGGGCTGAGGGGCACACCGCTGCCGCCGCCAGAGAGCAGAGCCCGGGAGAGCCACGGGGCTTCAGCGGGGGGCTCAGTGGGGGCCCCCTCCACCCTCTCGCTGGTTCCCCGTGCTGCTGCGTCCAGCAAGCGGTTGTTGAGCTTGATGACGGGCAACGCCAAGGCACCGACGGCCGAGGAGAGGAGGGACTCGGCTCCGGCGCGGCAGGAGAGGCTGAGGTTGGCCTCGGCGGAGGCACCGGAGCGGAGGCTGAGGAGGGGGGCGGCGGGGGCTGCTGCCGTCCACGCACTCGGCGTTGGCCTTGGGGACGGGCTGGCAGTGCCCGTCCTCGGGGCCAGTCCCCTCAGGGAGCCCCGTCGCCATGGAGTAGAGACCCTTCTGCATCAGCCTGCGGGTTTCCATGTCCCTGTTCTCGTACAGCATGGTGTTGGCGCAGATGAAGATGAAGAGCCCAATGCCCATGATGACAGGGCCGATCAGCTTGAGCTTCTCGCTGTGGGGTACGTGGCGCCCGGCAGCCACCTCCCTCCTCATGTCCCCCGTGGTGCTGGCATTCCCCACGCCGGCCCCGGTGGCCCCAGTTCCCCGGTGGGGCCAGTAGCCCACCACGGCGATGGTCATGCCCACCAGGACCACCGAGATGCCCACCATGACGAAGGCTCCTGATGGAGAGCGCATGCGGATCTGTCCTTTCACTGGGACCTCTGGCGGTGACTTGCGCCGCAGCCTGCGTCCCCGGCGCCGCGGCGGGGCAGGGGGCACCGGCAGCTTTGTCCCCCCCGCCTCCGGCTCCCGCATGGGTCCATTGGTTTTGGCGCTCTCAGCAGTCATCGTCTCCGGCTTGGTCGCCCTGCCTGCAGGGCAGGGGGGAGAAAAAAGGGGAGAAGAGGCATCACTTGGTGGGTCTGGGGGTCTGTGTGCCAGGGATGCTGGGAGCATGGGGACCACAGGGATGTCGGGAGCATGAGGAGCGGAGCGTGAGGACACCGGGAGCATGGGGACACCAGGAACACAGGGAGCATGAGGATGCTGGGAACACGGGGACCACATACACTGGGAGCATGGGGATGCTGGGAGCATGAGGAGCATGTGGACACTGGGAGCATGAGGATGCTGGGAGCATGGGAACACCAGAAGCACAGGGAAGCCAAGAACATGGGAAGCATGGGAAGCATGGGGATGCCAGGAACATGGTGGGGAGCACGAGGACACCAGGAGCATGGGGATGCCAGGAACACAGGGAGCACGAGGACACCAAGGAGCATGGGGATGCTAGGAGCACGGGTGGGGCACGAGGACACTGGGAGCATGAGGATGCCAGGAGCACAGTGTGGGCACGAGGACAC